CATCTAGACAAGATGACAACTATTCAGTGGAAGCTGTACCTTCCCACACACATTCTGAAACTGAACTCCCGCTTGAAAACTTGTAAGCCAGTCACTTCATGCCTTAATTGCCCCCACCACCACCCCATTTTAGGTAGCCAATGTCTAAGTTGCCAATTCCTGTTACGTCTGTGCACAGGGTGTACAGGATTGATTGTTGTTGTGAAGATTCCTTCCCTCTCAGTTGGTAGCATGAGCAACTACATCTATATGTATAGGGCAAGTTCATCAAATTTTAGCAATTTATACTTGTTTATGTTGTCAAAAAATTTTTTTTGTCTTCCTCTAGTCTAATTCTAAAGGAACTCTGGTAGTGTAGTGGTTATGAATCTGGCTGCTAACCTCAAGGTCGGCAGTTCGAATCTACCAGCTGTTCCATAGGAGAAAGATGAGGCTTTCTGCTCCTGTAAAGATTTGCAGCCTTGGGAACCCTGTGTAGGGTCACTATGAGTCAGATCTGACTCCACGGTACTTAACAAGTCTAGTTCTAAAGAACTCTGGTAGTTAGTGGTTATGAATCAGACTGCTAACCTCAAGATCAGCAGTTAGAAACTACTAGCGGTTCCGTGAAGAAAGTGAAGTGTTCTCTGCCCATAAAGATTTACAGCCTCAGAAATCCTGTGCAGCGTCACTATGAGTAGGAACTGACTCCACGGTATTTAACAACAACAAAGTCTAGTACTGATCATCAAACCATTGAAACTAGGTCAAATGAGTACTGTCTGCAACTTTGGGCATTCTTGTGCATATCCTCTCCATGTCAGCTGGATGCTTCACTCTCAGCCCCAGCCCTCTGTGGCTATGTGCTTGTCCATGGGCTCAGGAATACCCAGATCTCACCACACTTTGGACTAACAAGCCCTTTCTCTTCTCTCTCCCATCTCCAGTTTGACGGGAGTCAGTGGAACATTGTTGAAGTCAGTCCATGTCTTCATTACTGCCTTTCCCCTACTTCCACTCACCAGTAGACCAACATGGTTGCCAGAAAGCTTATATGCCTGCTTGTGTGTTGCCTTTGAGTTTCAGTCTTAGAGGGAGATTTGTCCTGGAGGGACTTAATGGCTTTCCTTGATGGCTCCTGGGTAGACAACTTGACTTTTCTTGTAGTAGCCAATCAGACTGACGTTTTTATTTATTTTTTTCCTACTGGTATTTTTTTTTTTTTTTCCCCAAGAAGTATCTTCTGGTGCTCTAGATGCTCCAGGCTGGTCTGGTTGTCCTTTCAAGTGGAAATGTCCCACTTCAGAAGGTTCTGGATGGGGCTCAGGATTCCACCTAAGGTCCTATAAAATACAAAGTCTTTGCAAGAAGCCTAATTCACTGGGCAAGTTCTAGAACACCTTTTAGGGATTCCATGACCATTATCTTTAAATTCCATTTTCACATCTCCTTGTGCAGTTTATATATCTGATCATACTTTTTCTCTATTCTACTTAAAATGTACATAGATTTGAGTTTGAGTGTTTGTGTATATGTGTGCCAGGTAAATTTGTACTGTGATGCACTTAAGGAACATGCTGTGAATCTCTAATTATGTTTAAAAAAATTATTTTCTTAGTGCAGCAGTATACTCATTATATACTCTACACATTCAGTTTTTGAATAGATTCCTGGCATGATAATTACATAATCATTCAGTACAGTAGAAACATCATTATGGTCAAATACTAATTAGCTACTAAAATGAAACAAAACACAACCTAGTTCATAGCTTATTATAAAAAGTGGTTTAATATTGTAGAAAACCAAAAGTATGGTTAAAATTATTATTTGCTGAAAATGTGAGTCATTTTTTTCCCCATGGAGAGGAATCATTGTTCTGGATGCTCATTATCTAATTAATTGCTTGGGAACGCATTACGTCTTATTCTCAGTACTTTCATGACCAGCCCTGCATGGTGGAGCCTCCAGAGAACTTGCCAGTGGGGATTCTCAGCTTACTAGAGGCTGCAGGCACCTGGAGTTCCTTAGGGCTCCTAATGCAGAATTAGAGTTTTGCATATTAGCTGTGTAAGTTTTGGAGAGTGTGGGGCTTCATGGTAAATAATTCATTTTTCCAGTGCTGGTTTGAGCATCTTTAGTGCTGAAGATAAGTGATTCTTAACTGATTTTATTCCTCGGTGCGCCTTTGGAGTGTGATACAGTCCCATGGGTAACAATGAATCTTGGCATCTGTGATTCTCCAGGTGTGTTTGTAATTGGAGAAATGTCAGACAAAACATAAACTGTGGTGGAGTGGAAGTGAGTGATACAAATAAAATCCCTCAGCTCACTACTGAGCGCACTCCTCAAGGGAGCATTATCCTCTTTCCTTGAGAATTGCTTCCATAGGTAAAATGCAGTTGTACCCACTACCTGGAGTCCCTGGGTGGTTCAAAAGGTTAAACACTTTGCTACTAGCCTAATGGTTGAAGATGTGAGTCCACCCAGAGGTTGTTCAGAAGAAAGCCATTGTAATCTGTTTATGAAACATCAACCATTAAAAAACCTATGGAACTCAGTTCTACTCTGACACAACTTACCATGAGTTGTAGTCAGCTTGACAGCAACTAGTATCTCCTACTAAGCAGTTTGGGTGCCCTTTCACATGTGATTGCATGGTTTTATCTGCTTTTCTCATAGACATGGAATTTTGATGAGCATAGTGACATAAGCTAGGGCTTATTATACTGATGTTTAGTATAAGTCTAATAGAAATTACAGACATTCCTGTTGTTATATTGTCACCTTTAGTTTCTTGGGATATAGATTAAATAATAAGTACTCCTGACAAATACAAATCAGCTTTTTATAGTGCCCTCTTTTGGTTCCATCATTCTCCCCCTTGTCCTTTTCTTTATTTTTGGCATCTGAGAACATTTGTTTTCTCTCTTGATGAATGGTTTGTAAAGCATTTGAAACAAAAATAGAAATGACATCATGGATGTAGGCTAAAAGAACGTTGCTAGGCTTTCTGATGTATTATAATCAATGATGCTAGTTGGCTTTCTACCATATCTGATGTAGTTACCCTATGTGAGGCGTGGGGGTGTTGTGTATATGTGTGTAAGTGACTCTCCAGTTCTGTGGCTCTGCACTTAATAAAATTATGTCGGAAAACAAAATATTTCATCTCATGAAAATGTCCACTAGTGAATCAGTGAGTTATACAAATAATCAAAAATCCGTCTTTAATTTACCCTAGGAGTGTTGGTATGGTGCTTATAGGATAATACACTGGACCACTAGGTCAGTTTGAACCACAAAGTTGACAGTTCAAATTTACCAGCTGCTTCTCTGAAACCCTATAGAGAGTTGCCATGTACCACTTATTTAAAGATACAATGAAACAAATTGATTATAAATTCCAAATCTTGCAAAGAATGTGGATTTCATGAAGTCTGTGATATGCAGCTATAATCTGTTTTTACTCGCAGGCAAAATCTTGAAACAGAATCTATAAGCGTTGCCTCAGTGAGAAAATTAAGGATGCTTAGTGCTTCAAATGGGCAGTATTTAAATATCAGCATTTCTTAAGGGGCCTTTAAGAAAAATGACAATATCCTTAAATATTTTTTGAAAATATAATTATATTTAAAACCATCCTGTGAAACAAAATTCACATGAAAGTTGTAATAACTTACTAATGTAAAATATTGTTGGGAATGGTGGTGGTGGTTACATGCCGTGGAGTCGGTTCCGACTCATAGTAACCCTGTATAGGGTTTTTGAGGCTGTAAATCTTTATAGGAGCAGAAAATCTCATCGTTCTCCCGCGGAACAGCTGGTAGTTTTGAACTGCTGACTTTAAGGTTCGTAGCCCAATTCATAACCACTACGCTACCAGAGCACCTTATTGTTGGGAATAATATTCTGATAAAAATTCTCATCTCACTTATTTTTCTATTCATTCTAAAAATTGCACATAGTTACAAATATTGCCCAAACATAGTTTTAAAGCCCTTATTTTTCTAAGTGCTGATCATAAAAATTTTCACCATTATTTGTATAAAATTTTGACCCCTATTTTAAGTGGGTTCACTTCATGTATACATTTTCAGGAACTGAGTTGGATAATAAGGCCTGGTGGCACTGTGGATTAGTTGTTGAGCTACTAATGTCACTGTCAGTGGTTCAAACCCACCAGGCTACGTAGGAGAAAGATGAGACAGTGTGCTCCCGTATAGATTTACAGTCTCAGAAACCTACAGAGCATTACTATGGGTCAGAATGGACTCCAGGGCGAGTGGGTTTGGTCTTTTGTTGTTGTTGTTGTTGTTATGAACCGTGGAGCCAGTTCCAGCTTATAGCGACCCTGTACATGGTTTTTGAGGCTATAAATCTTTAGGGGAGCAGAAAACCTCATCTTTCTCCCACAGAACAGCTGGTAGTTTCGAACTGCTGACCATGCAGCTCGCAGCCCGATTCGTAACCACTACGCTACCAGGTGTTTTGTTAGGAAATGTAAAATACACATTTGAGTTATGTGATTCTGCATGTATAGCCATACAGTTTTTGCTGTGTTAATGGTCTAAACTGAAAGTCAGATTTTAAATTTCAATCAATTGTAGCTAAATTGCAAACAAATTATATATTTTTATTCAGTGACATTAGGCAGGGATTGGAGTATTTGCTGTATAAAGGTGATTCTTTGAGACAAATCAATAATGACCTATATTTGCATAGGTCATTTCCTAAGATATGGAAATAACTTGATTATAATTCTATTAATATCTTCCATTTGTAAAACATTTTGTTCTTTAGGAGGTTCTTTTGAGTCCTATTATTTCATTACCCTTTGTACTGTGTGGTATTTGTCATGATGAAATTGCCTGTTTTTTAGAAGTTCTCCAGAATGTTCCATATAATTCTTCTCCATTCTTTGGTTCTATTACTATCAATTTTAACCTGAAGTCTTACAGAGAGTGTGAAAGAAATGAAAACACTTTGAGATTCCTGTAGTGAAGCTTCTGTTTTTGCAGGTACCTTGTGGTCTACAATCCTTCAGAACAAGACCGAAATTCAGTGGTGTCAGTGTATGTGACTTCTCCCACCCTGCAAGTGATGTCTGCTTCAGGAAACCCTGTGGAATTTCAAGTCAGTGCAGTTTGGGAGACAGCAAATACTATTTCACAAACATCCTACGAGGTATGCTGTCACCAGAAAATGTAAAGAGGCATGATAAAGAAAGAATAGCCAGTATGTAGTATATAAATGTATATAAGTGACCAATTGAGCCACCATGGAAGTATATGTTAAGTAGTTAAATACCAGTTAGCTTTGGTCACTTAGTGAACACTAAAGGAAAATAGATCTTGTAATGTAATCTTTACATTAGTATATATAGTACAGTCCTGGTGTGGCACTGTTGGATAAGCACTGGACAGCTAACCACAAAGTTGGCAGTTAAAACCCACCAGCTGCTTCTTAAAAACCCTGTATAGGGTCGCAATGAGTTGGAACAAACTTGATAGTACTCAACAACAACAACAGTATATACAATGTATGTTCTCATATTGCAATACATATATATATATATATATATATATATATATATGTTGTTGTTAAGTGCCGTCAAGTCGGTTCCAACCCATAGCGACCCTGTACAGGGTTTCAGAGGGTGTAAATCTTTATGGGAGTAGAAAGCCTCATCTTTCTCCCACGGAGCAGCTGGTAGTTTCAAACCGCTGACCTTAAGGTTTGCAGCCCAATTCGTAACCACTACGCTACCAGAGCTCAATATATATACATATATATATTAGTAGAAGTACATATTGTTAATAGATAATTGTGTTTGTTCCTTTGTATTTTGTAACTTTGCTAAAGTTAGAACAATCATTGTCCACAAAAATTTAAATTTTTTGTCTAACTCAATTTAATGACAGTTATATATTGGAATTGAGATAAATGGCACACTTCTAAATAACTTTGGATGGTTTCAACTTTTAATTGCAAAGGTAACATATGTTGTGGTTACATGCCGTTGAGTTGGTTTTGACTTATAGTAACCCTGTATGGAGTTTCACAGGAGCGACAGATAAGTTTGAGCCATTGACCTGTGGTTGGCAGTCCCTTGCTTATCCACAGTGCCACACCAGGACTCTATATAAGAAACCATAAAAGAATGACTGCCTCAAATAGCTAAAAAAGTATGCTCCTTTTCTGAGATAAAATTACAAAAAATCTTGGCACAAAAATGTCTTTTTGAAAGTTTCTTAAAGTAAGCACTGTTCAGCTAAGCCCCACAGCATTAGAAACGTTGAGCTTTTTGGAGTCAGGAGTGGAATTTGCACTATACTTTTAAAGACATATCCATAAACTTGTGGCAGTGGTTGAGTGTCATTGACTGATTCCCACTCCGAGGTTGTTAAGAGCCATTGCTGGCTGATGTTATAAACTTGTAATTCTTTAGGTAGAAGGAAAAAGTGTACTATAAGTGTTGGTCAAATTTTACAGGAGGCATTCCATCTAGAAAATAGAACAGCAGCTCCTGGAAAGCAGTCCTATACTGATAGGGGTCATTGCTGATAAACCCCAGGCAGGCATTCAGTGGTGCTGACTACACTGATGGTGTTGAAAATTTATATTGGTACATGTACCATTCTTTTCAAAATACTGAAACATCATCCTATTGTAAAATCTAATAATTAGGAGCAGTTCGAAACTACCAGCTGTTCTGCGGGAGAAAGATGAGGCTTTCTGCTCCCATAAAGATTTACAGCCTTGGAAACCCTGCGCAGGGTCACTATGAGTCGGAACTGACTCCATGGCACACAACAACATATTCATAAGACTATATTTTCATTGAGAATTTTCCCTCTAGAAACACCCATTCAGAGCCCTGAGAGACAATTGAGACTGGTCACGTAATTTCATATATTAAGAGTAAAATATTAAAGTCCTCCATATGCCTGTTAACCTGGGATAACATATGTGAATACTCTACCCATAAGATATCAAAACATATTTGCAGAATAGTACTATGTTTTCTGTTTTTTAAAGATGTAATAGTTCTTTTTGCTAAAAATGTAAATGTTTATCTTTTTAGTAGGTACAATGTCTGTATAATAAACTGCCTTCCCTATCTTTTAAAGATCTCTTTTCTAGCACATACACCACCATTGGGACTAAAAGTGTATAAGATTTTGGAATCAACAAGTTCAAAGTCACTCTTAGCTGATTATGTTCTATATAATGGTAAAACAGAAGTTGAAGGAATTTTCAACATAAAGAATATAAAAAATGCTGAAGAAAATATAGTGCTAGAGAATGCCTATATTAAGCTTCAGTTTGGTCAGTCTGGACTCATGGAGGTATGTTTATCTAAGTAGTGCTGAAGTGCATAGAAGTTACAGTATACAAATTACTTATGCAAAAGGAATAAAGATGTACTTAGGTCTGTACCAAGTATTCTGGGAGGCGGGATAGGTGAGCTATGTCTACCTCCTTCTGGTAGTCCAGAAGGCCTGCTTTGACTCATAAGTAACATCTGTGGATAGTACTGTCCTGTGAACTTCCTGTTAATAACCCAGGAGCTAAGTACAGAAATTGTGAATGTTAAGAAATTTTTATGGAAACTTTCAAAGCAATTTGAGTAAATGAATGCCTATTGGCTCTGAATGTAAAAGAATTTGAGAGTATATTTGGTATGTCACTTAAATTTCATTTTTCTTGTAATTCACTTTTATTGTACTTAACAAAAATATTGACCTATATACATTGAAAATTAAAAAGTAAACCTTCCCAATCACCACAGAAAGTTTGAAAAGCATTGATCTAGATCTCCTAGTTTGCGTATCTCTTTCTTGATAAAGTGTATTCCGAATTTCTGTTCATATTGTGAACATTTTAAATATCAAGGTTAAGTATAAAATCTGGGCTATTTAACCAATAATTTTGAATACTAGAAATGTAACTTGACATATTTCAATCTGTTCTGATATGTATTTTTTTAAATTAACATTTACCTGGAACCAGATGCATGATTATTATCTTAACATGATTACTATTGTAAATAGTGAGTTGCCTTTTAAATATTTTTGTTCTTAGGAAATTATAAATAAGGAAGATGGTAAGCGTCATGATGTAAAATTGGAATTTTCATGGTATGGAACGACAAGTAAAAAAGACAAAAGTGGTGCCTACCTTTTCTTACCTGATGGGGAAGCCAAGGTAAGTCACTAGATACTTGTTGAAAGAGTTGTTGTTGTTGTTAGGTGCCATTGAGTCGGTACCGACTCATAGCGACCTTATGCACAGCAGAATGAAATACTGCCCGATCCTGGGTCAACCTCACTATTGTTGCCATGTTTGCGTCCATTGATGCTGCCACTTGGCCAGTCCATCTTGTTGGGGGTCTTCCTCTTTTTCTATGACCCTCCTCCTTACCAAACATGATATCCTTCTCCAGCAACTGATCCCTCCTGACAATATGTCCAAAGTATGAGAGACAAAGTTTGGCCATCCTAGACTCCAAGGAACACTTTGGCTGCACTTCTTCCAAAATGGATCTGTTAGTTCTCTTGGCAGTTCATGGCACTTTCAATATTCTCCTCCACCACCATGACTCAAATGCATCAATTCCTGTATTCACTGTCCAGCTTTCGCATGCATATGAGGTTATTGAAAATACCATGGCTTGGGTCAGGTGCACCTTGGTCCTCAAGCTGACATCCCTGCTCTTCAACAGTTTCAAAAGGTCTTGTGTAGCAGATTTGCCTAATGCAGTACGTTGTTTGATTTTTTGACTGCTGCTTACATGAGTGCTGATAGTTGATCCAAGAAGAATGAAGTCCTTGACAACTTCAGTGTTTTCCCCATTGATAAGAATGTTGTTTATTGGTCCAGTGGTGAGGATTTTTGTTTTCTTTACATTGAGATGTAATCCATACTGAAGGCTGTGCTCTTTGATCATCAGTAAATGTTTTAAGTCCTCTTCACTGTCAACAAATAAGGTTGTATCATCTGCATATCACAGATTGTTAATGAGTCTTCCTCCAAACCTGAGGCCACGTTTTTCTTCATCTAACCCAGCTTCTCGGATTATTTGTTCAGCATACAGATTGAATAAGTAGGGTGAAAGACTACAACCTTGTCGCACACCTTTCTTAATTTTAAACCGTTCAGTGTTCCTATGTTCTGTTTGAGCAACTGCCTCCTGGTCCAGATAGAGATTCCTCATGAGTACAATTAAGTGTTCAGGACTACTCATGCTTCGCAATGTTTTCCATAGCTTGTCATGATCCACACAATTGAAAGCCTTTGCACAGTCAATAAAGCACAGGTAAACATCTTTCTGATATTCTCTGCTTTCAGCCAAGATCCATCAGACATCAGCACTGATAACCCTCGTTCCACAGATTCTTCTGAATCCGGCTGGAACCTCTAGTTCTCTGTCAATGTATGCTTGCAGCCATTTATGTATTACCTTTAGTAAAACTTTACTCGCATGGGATAGCAAAGAGATTGTCCGATGATTTGCACGTTCTGTTGGATCACCTCTCTTTGGAATGGGCACAAACATGGATCTCTTTCAATCAGTCAGCCAGAGAGTTGTCTTCCAAATTTCTTGGCAGAGATGAGTGAGTGCCTCCTGTACTGCCTCACTTTCTTGAAAGGTTTCAATTTTTATTCTATCAATTCCTGGTGCCTTGTTCTTTGCCAACTCCTTCAATGCACCTTGGACTTCCTCCTTCAGTATCATTGGCTCTTGATCATATACTACCTCTTGAAATGGTCGAACATTAACCATTTCCTTTTGGTACAGTGACTCTGTATTCCTTCCATCTTCTTTTGATTCTTTCTGCATCATTCAATAATTTGTCCAGAGAATCTTTCAATAATGGAGTTCCCCCATCTTGAGAAATGCTGAGCATGTTCTTCCTTTTTAGTTTTCTGATTCCAGATCTTTGCACATTTTGTTGTAATATTTGGCTTTATTTTCTCAAGCTGATCTTTGAAATTTTCTGTTCAGCTCTTGAACCTCCTCCTTTCTTCCATTTGCTTTAGCATCTGTATGCTGGAGAGCAAGTTTCAGTGTCTCTTCTGACATACATTTTGAAATTTCCCTTCTTTCTTGTCTTCTTAATGACTTTTTGCTTTCTTCCTGTATGATGTTCTTGATGTCATCCCACAACTCTTCTGGTCTTCAATCTTTAGGTTTAATGTATCAAATCTGTTCTTCAGATGATCCATAAATTCAGGTGGGATATATTCAAGGTTATAGTTTGGCTCTTGTGGACTTGTTTTCATTTTCTTTCTTTCAGTTTGAATTTGCATATAGTAATTGATGGGTGTTCCACAGTCTGCCCCGGTATTGTTTTGACTGATGATATGGAGCTTTTCCATTGTCTCTTTCCACAATTGTAGTCAATTTTATTTCTGTGTATTCCTTCTGGTGAGGTTCATGTGTATAGTTGTATCTTATGCTGTCTAAAGAGTGTATTTGAAATGAACAAATCATTGATTTTGCAGAATTCTATCATGCAGAATTCTATCCAGCATCATTTCTATCCCAAAACCATATTTTCCAACTACTGATCCTTCCTTTTTGTTCCCAACCTTTGCATTCTAGTCACCAGTAATGATCAGCACATCTTGATTGCATGTTTGATCAATTTCAGATTGAAGAAGTTGGTAGAATGCTTCTATTTCATCCTCACTGGCTTTAGTGGTTGGTGTGTAAATTTGAATAATATAATAGTAATATTAACTGGGTTTCCCTGTAAGCACATAGATATTATATTATCACAGACAGTGTTGTACCTCATACTGATATGGCTATGTTCTTTTTGACAATGAATGCAACACCATTCCTCTTCAATTTGTCATTTCCAGCCTAGTCAACCATGTGGTCATCAAATTCAAAATGGCCAATACCAATCCATTTCAGCTCACTAATGCCCAAGATATCGATGTTTATGTGTTCCATTTCATTTTTGACAAGTTCCAGTTTTCCCAGATTCATACTTTATACATTCCATGTTCTGATTTTCAATGGATGTTTATAGCTGTTTCTCCTCATTTTGAGCTGTGTCCCATCAGCAATTGAAGGTCCCACGGGCTCTTCTCCCATAGGCTTTACTCTATTCGCATCATCACTGTCAACTCTACTTCGAGTAGGCAGCTCTTCCCCAGTCGCATTTTGAGTGCCTTCCAACCTGAGGGACTCATTTTCCAGCACTATATCTGACAGTGTTTTTCTTCTATTCATAAGGTTTTCAGTTACTAAATATTTGGAAGTATTTTGTCACTCCTTCTTCCTAGTCTGTCTTCATCTGGAAGCTCATCTGAAACCTGTCCACCATGGGTGACCCTTCTGGTATTTAAAATACCGTGGCATAGCTCTCAGAATCACAGCAACTCACAAGCCGCCACAGTATGACAAACTGACAGATGAGTGGTGGTCCAACTCATAGCTACCCTGTATATGGTTTACAAGGAGCAGCTGGTGGATTTGAACTGCTGACATTATGGTTAATAGTCCAATGCTAATCGTGCACCACCATACCATATGTCCTATTAATACTTAGGAACTCATATTTGAAAATAATGTAATTTTTCAGAATGAGAATACAGTTAGGATAGATACTACAATGAACAAATGTTCAGTGAAATTTGAAATTAAAAAGAAAGCAGCTGGACTTGATTTAAGGTGGTGTTGTGCCGCTGTATAGCTGTGCAACACAAGCATGTGTGTGTTGCCTTCAGGACCTTATGTTTGTGTTGCTCCTTAACTTTTAGCACCTAAAAAATAAAACATAATTTTTTTTCCTACCATTGACTACAAAGTTACTACATGCAAATTCTGATACATTTTGAAAATGAAGATGACAATACAAATTAGCAACTATTACATAAGCCTGTGAAAACCATTGCCCCCATTTTGGTATATTTTTTCTTGTCTTTTGTTCTATGAATATCCTTTCCCTCCCATTTTTAGGTTTTGTTTTATTGTATGCACATATTTTATTTTACATATGTAAAAATGTTCACAATATGATGGTATATTCTTTGAAACACAATCTTAATATATACTGTTGTATTTATATAAGAATCTCCTATTGTTGTATGTCTATTTCCTCAGATTCTTCACTGTTATAAAATTGTGGTAAGTACTCATTGTAGCATTATTGTTATGCCTGTGCAAATGTGAGTATTTCCTGGAATGAACTTTCCAGAAGGGTCATTTTGTGTCTACTTATGAAACATTTTAAGACTTTTGATGTATACTACTTATTTTCTCTCCAGAAAGACTGAATAAATTTTTACTCTCACTACATGTTTTGAGAGAAGCTATCTAATATTCTACGGCAAGCTCTAAGAGTTAGCCATATTAAAAAGAGTGGGCAGTAATAGGTGAAGGACAACAATAAGTGAAATGTACTTTGCTGTTAATATTTTTTTCACGTGATTCTTAGTGTGGTAGAAATTCTTTTGTACATTTCTTTGTGAGGGTGTGTATGTGTTTATGTGTGAGAGAAAGAGAATTTCTTAAGTCCTTTGACAACTTTTCTACTGCTGTGTCTTAATTGATAATTGATCTGAAAGCAGTTTTTATATATAGTATAGTAAACTCAAGGATCCCTAGTGGCACCATGATTAAGTGCTAGGCTACTAACCGAAAGGTTGGCAGTTCAAACTCACCTGGCAGCTTTGTGGGAGGAAGGCCCGGTGAAATTCTCCTGTAAAAAAAACCCCTATGGGTCAGTTGTACTTTGTCACATGGGGTTCTGAATTGAAAATAGACTCAGTAGCACCCAACAACAATAGTAAGCACATGAATCCATTTTTTAAAATGTTACAAATTTTTCCCTCAGTTTGTCATTTAGTCTGTCATTTTCTGATACTGCAATTTTTGGTGTTCATGTAGTCTATTCTGTATTCTTTGCTTTTATACTTGTATAGGCCTTTTCTACTTCAGTATGGAGTCCTGGTGTGGCAATATAGGATAAGCACTGGACTGCAAATTTGGTTCAAACTCAGCAGCCACTCTTTGGAAGCCCTGCATAGGGTTGCTGTGAGTTGGAACTGACTCAGTGGCACTTAACAACAACAGTATCAGTAAAATGTTCATTTTGCTTTTTTGTTACCTAGGAACCTGTCACCTGAAAAAGTTACTGTTGTTCTACAATTTAGGAAAACCTGCTAACCAAAATCAAATATTACATTGTAAGAGATTATGTAGGTCATACTAAGAATGCTAATCTTTGTTTGATGTAAATCTTTCTTTTAAATTCTTTACAAATGCTTTAAATTTGTTTCTGTGTCACTTAAATGATTTGGTATCTCATATGTTCTTGAATTTAGATGCTAAATAATCAAAGTTAAACCAGTGATTTCCAAGTTGTTTTTTTTTTTCAAATTTGTAATTTTCTTGTTAAGTTTATTTTGTATCATAGTAAAACCCACCTGTGATTAAACTATGTTCCTGAATCTTGCTTCCTGTTTGTATAGAGGACTCCCTGTGGGTAATCCTTGCCAAGTTCCCGGAACCCTGAACATTAGGGGACATGGTTATAATAAATGTCTGCCTGAAAATGCCACTGCTGTGGAAAGATTTCTAGCTCAAATAAATTGCTACATGAGGAGGCTTTAAAATGTTTGTGGGAAAGAAAAAAAAAAAAGTTTGTGGAAAATTCCATTATCTTTTCATTCCCCTGCAGACTTTTTGAAGCTCCGTCATATTGATAATATGTAAAATCCTAATTAGAAATTTTTATACTTGGGAAGAATATTTGTAGATTTCTAGATCATCTAGACCAATCAAGATGCAAACAGGTCTATTTTCTCTTTTCAGCATTTTTTTTTTTTAATATAGTGAAAAACCTTATCGTCAATGTTTACAGCAAGTGCGTATTTCTGGTACATTGTAAGGTTTGGTTTTCATTTAAAGTTGCAAATATCAAATTATATATATTTATTATTTTGGAGACTAATAAACATTTCTTAGAAAAGCTTATATGCCAAAATATTTTTCCTGAAAATGTCATTTTCTTTTCAGCTTTATGGGTACACAACACTGCCCTTTGTCAGAGTGACACGTGGAAGGATTTACTCAGAAGTCACCTGCTTTTTTGAACATGTTACACATAGAGTGCGGCTCTACAACATACAGGGTAAGAAATCAGAGAAGCACAGTTATACAACATGCCTGTTGTTGTTATGTGCCGTAGAGTTGGTTCCGACTCAGCGACCCTGCACAGTTTCTGAGGCTATAAATCTTTATGGGAGCAGAAAGCCTCATCTTTCTCCCATGGAACAGCAGTTTTGAACTGCTGACCTTGCAGTTCGCCGCCCGATTCGTAACTACTACGCTACCAGGCTCCTTACAACATGCCTGTAGTGTCTCCTGAATTTTTGCTTTTCTTAGTTATTGTCTTTTTATAAACTAGCAGTTGATGTTTGGAGATGATGCAGTTTTCTAATCTTGACATCATACTGTTAGTATAATCTAACATTTATGTTTACACTTTGATCATTTAAAAAATTGTAAAATATTTAATCCTTTACCTACCAGCCGGCTTCAAAAATTAGTGGAAAAAATATCCATTGTTTTCCTAATCCATTTTTCCTCGAATTTTTTGAAGTCTCTTTATATATGTGTTTTCTCATGTGTATACCTTCTCTTCTCTACCACCGTATTTGGGTTAATAATGAACTCATTAAGTAGGGACTGTTTCTTAACTAAAAAAAAAAAAAAAAAAAAAATGGGTGTGGAGTGTTTGTTTTTATAAAATGGAAATCATATCAAATATAACTTTCAGTCAGTAGACCGCTGATTAGCTATGGAACATCAACATATGTGTGTATACTTGCACACACACACACACCTGGCCTGCCTTGACTAGAATATATCATAGTAGAATGTAGCATTGGATTTTAAATGTAAAATGTTCTAGTTTGTTCACAACTCTGATGATTAGAGTAAAAATTAGTCAATTATTTATTGCTTTTAGAACAGTATTGAGAATTTTTTTATATTTTCATTAATTGGAGTTACAGAAAATTGGCTTTTGATTTCTTTAGGAACTTAACCCTGGGTAACTAGTCCTTCCAAACAAACTGGATAGAGCTATGATTCCAAGTACACTTCCGAATTGCAGTTTAGTTGGGTTGATTTTTGAATTTTTTTGAACGTTTTTAGAAGAGAATGCTTTTCTAGCCCCATATTTAATTAACCCTAGTAACAAGACCATTTACCATTGTATCAACTCTCATAGATAAATACCTCATAGAAATGTTTCTTTAAGTTTATCTTGCTGTTAGCAAAGCTGAAACAATTAGAGAAGGAAGAAATTCTTTCCTTAAATCCAAATACAGGTAGAAAATTAAGTATTTGATTTCATTAATGTTTGCCTTTCATTAGAATTTCAGTTATAGATAAACATGTTCATGTTGCATCATAGGTTAACATACTTTTCAGAATAACCCATGACAGGTTGAATCAAGATGTCAAAGGTCTTCTGGTGGGGGTGGTGGTATGCTGTGGAGTCGGTTCCTATTCATAGTAGCCCTTCATAGGGTTTCCAAGGCTGTAAATTTTTACGAGAGCAGAAAGTCTCATCTTTCTCCCATGGAGCAGTTGGTAGTTTCGAACTACTGACCTTGAGGCTAGGAGCCCAACTAGTAACCACTATGCTACCAGAGCTCCTTAAAAGCCCTCTAAAAGGTAGTAAAAACAATTGTTGTTGTTGTTGTTGTTAAGTGCCTTCGAGTCGGTTCCGACCCATAGCGACCCTGTACAGGGTTTCCGAGGGTGTAAATCCTTACGGGAGTAGAAAGCCTCATCTTTCTCCCGCGGAGCAGCTGATAGTTTCGAACTGCTGACCTTAAGGTTCGCAGCCCGATTTGTAACCACTACGCTACCAGAGCTCCTTAGTAAAAACAATACAAGATATTAATTTTGTATCCGGAGTATAACTTCCACAAATTATCTGTAGTCACCCTTGTACCTGTAGGAGAACTTGTCATTCGCAAAGAATCTGTTATTGCATTTTTACAAATGTCTAGTAAGTCAGAAAGAGTGCTTTCAGTTATCCACTTGTATTCGTGAGCAAGCCACTGTTACACACCTGGGGAGCTCTGAAATAATATTTTCCTGCTATCGCCAAAGGTTTCATTTTATGGGTAGAAAATAGCATTATCATACCCAAGATGCACTTACATTTAATTTTGCTTAAACTCATGATTTTTTAATGGAAAGTTCTTCTGTGAATACAACATGCTTTGTCATAGACCTGTGCCATCAAGTTTATTTACCATGGTTTTCATCATTTATATTCAGAGATAGGCTAGGTCTCAGAGTAAATACTGATGCAAGGCATCACAAAATTCTCAGTGCTCAATCAAGGATGTTTAAGAATTGCTTTGACTTTTGTTTAATTGTTTCTGTCAGTTTCAGTGCATCTCCTGAGTTTTTGTTAGACCATTTGGGACATCCAGATCTTATATTATAGGACAGTTTCTGAAAGGTAAATGGCCTTCTGCTCCTGGTGGTGGGTGCAGCAGAGCTTGCCATCATACTCCTGGTCCATCTGACTCAGCTGTTGACGTATTACAACAGACACACATTCACTAGAACTTACTAGTTGTCTTCACTCATCTCCTCCTCACTACCAAGAACTGCCCTGTGGCTGACTACTACACTTTAACAGCGACAGAGGCCACAGGATATAACTAACTCCTTCTTGGTCCCTGAGGGTGGCCCTGTTGGTTTTCTTTCCCCTCAGCATTTCTCCACTCTCAGTTTAGCCCCGTTTCTAACCTCTGCATGTTTTTCTTTCCTTATATGTTTCATTTATTGCTTGTTTCTGTCTTCCTCTTTGGTATTATGATGCAGAGGCTTAGCTCTGAGGAACGAACGTGGCCTGTTGGGAAAATGCCTTCCTCCTTTATCACAAACTGATCAGTCTTGGCACTTCGGGTATCCAATGAAGTCTTTGGTGCTCACCTGTTTGCACTTTTGCTTAGTGATCATAGCCTGCTCAATTCACTGCCATGGAAACATTTTAAAGTGTTGAAGTATAATGTGATTCCAGGCCAGAAAATCTCTAGAAGTCTGACCTCTAGGAAATGAGGCATTTAAAATCTGAGGTTTGATTAGTTTAATAAGAAAATTGAGATGCTCAGAATCGGGCACTTAGAATGTTAGCATAATAATAAATATACAAAACTCAGATTGCCTTTGGATCTCTTAGCAAATAAAGTAAACTTAGATTGAATCTTTTTTTTTCTTATCCCAATTAGATTTTTGTTACTTGAAAGCAGAGGCTTCAAAAGTTCACGGGAAATGACAGAGAAATCCGTATGATGTGAAGTTTTACTATACTTGTCTGAGTTGAATCTGAAACCATTATATAAAACCACTCCAAGAGACCTGTGAAGCCTTTTCACTGTCTAGCCTAGAGCAGTTCTTTTTACAACATGAAAGTAGTTGGTGGGAAGTGGAGGTACCATAATTGTTTGAAAGGCTTCCTTCCAAGCTAGACTCTCCTGTGTTTGTATTTGGGTCCCTCACAACAAATTTCCTGCCTGACAAAATAAGCCCGATTATAGAAAGAAAGCCTGTTTTCAGGATGCTCCATGGCCCACCTCTGTCTTTTCTTTTACACATTATTGTCTAAAGGTTCAGGATGTCTGGAGTCTGGTTCAGTGGCATTTTAATTAAATCACTATTCCAGTCCTATGATGGAGATGTGAAGTCTTCAGGGTGTTTGAATCTATATGTGTTCAAACTACCTGAAAGAGTAAAGAGTAATCAGTCTTTGGGGATTTGGTTATATAGTGCACTGAAAAATGGATTCAAACTGCCAACCTTTCGGTTAGTAGCCAAGAGCAAACGTTATGTACCTCCCAAGGGCCTAGTTTTTATTAAATTTGCAAAAAAATTGCAAGCTTAAATTTAATTTATTTAAGTGCTTTTTGTATATATGCTAAATAGGCATCCTTGAAACTGGAAAATTCTTATGAAATATAATCCTTATACTTGCGTCAGGTAAGAAATCCATTTTTATGTTACCCATAATTTGATAAATTGCTTTAAATGGGACAATTTTATGATTTTTAAAATATTTTTCAGTTTGTAGAAAATAGTTTTTTTCTGGAGGAAAAGGTAAGAGCGGTGGGGATTAATTTCCCTTGTAATGTAAGACAGACTAGGAAGAAGGAGTGACGAACTACTTCCAAATATTTAGTAACTGAAAACCGTGTGAATAGTAGAGAAACACTGTCAGATACAGTGCCAGAAAATGAGCCCCTCAGGTTAGAAGGCACTCAAAATGCAACTGGAGAAGAGCTGCCATCTCCAAGTAGAGTTGACTATGATGACATGAATGTTGTAAAGCCCGTGGGAGAAAAGCCCATGGGACCTTCATTTGCTGAAGGGACACAACTCAAAATGAAGAGAAACAGCTATAAACATCCACTGAAAATCGGAACATGCAATGTACGAAGTATGAATCTGGGAAAATTGAAAGTTGTCAAAAATGAAATGGAGCGCATAAATATCTATATCTTAGGCATTAGTGAGCTGAAATGCACTGGTATTGGCCATTTTGAATCTGACATCCACGTGGTTTACTATGCCTGGAATGACAAATTGAAGAGGAATGGTGTTGCATTAATTGCCAAAGAGAACATAATCAGATCAATCATGATCTGTCTGTGATAGGATAATGTCCGTGCTCCTACAGGGGAAACCAGTTAATACCACTATTGTTTAAATTTATGCACCAACCACTAAAGCCAGTGAAGATAAACTAGAAGAATTTTACCAACTTCTTCAATCTGAAATTGATCAAATATGCAATCAGGATGTATTGATCATTACTGACGATTGGAATGCAAAGGTTGGGAACAAAGAGGAAGGATCAGTAGTAGAAAATGTGGCCTTGGTTGTAGAAATGATGCTAGAGATTGCATGATAGTGTTCTGAAAAATCAATGATTTGTTCATTTCAAATACCTTCTTAAGATAGCATAAGAGACAATTATACACATGGACCTCACCGGATGGAATACACAGAAATCAAATTGACTACATCTGTGGAAAGAGACGATGGAAAAGCTCCATAACATCAGTGAAAACAAGGCTAGGGTTAGACTGTGGAACAGACCAT